ACAAATATGACAAAGTATTGAGATCCCCCCTTAGTAGGCGTAGGGGTAGGCCCCTATATATCAGTGTGGACTAGATCAAATGGAGCAGAACAAACAGAATCACTTTTATTAAATGAAAATCGAGTTTGTTTGCCTAAATGGCAGGAAGTACAATCAAAAGGCTGAAAAGAAACATCACCCAAAAGACCACTAGATGCAAGATGTTTAACACGGGGGAGTGAGGCATGACCGAGACGAGAATGCCAAAGACTTGAAGAAGTGGTGGCAAGCGCAACTGAAGAGGTGAATTTTGATGGGAGTTGTAGAGAGTCTAGCGCAAACAGTCGTCCAACTCTATGGCCTGTCCCAATTACCTGTCCCGTTTGGGGATCCTGTACATCACAACTGATGTTAGTAAATTTCAATTCAAGGCTAAGATCACAGAGTTGTCCCACAGAAAGAAGATTGAGAGACAACTTAGGAACCAAATATGCATCACGTACTGACAAAGTAGGGGTAGAGATAGTACCAATATGACTAACAGTCATAAAAGAACCATCAGCGGTGTAAATGTGAGGTGAGACATTGGGAACGGACTTACTGGATAAGGTTGATGGATCTGAGGTCATGTGGTTGCAACAGCCAGAATCAAGATACCAGGGAGTTTTAGATTTACCTGGATTGACAGATAGGGCAGTAGAAGTATGGGCAAGGACTCGGTGGACTATGACTTCAAGATCTGCAGCAGATAGGTTGGCGGTCGAAAAAAGAGCATCAATGGATGAAGAAGACTCAATGGCCGATGAATCAGGGGATGACACAACGCCTGCTTGAGAAGCATGATGCTGAACCTATAGAGCCTTTTTACGGGCCTGAAGCTTTCTGCACTCTTTAACTAAGTGGCATTTTTTCTTACAATACTTGCATACAACATTCCGAGAAGAGGAAGACTGCGGATATGTGGGTTGTGTAGTAGAGAAGTTACCTGGATAGGGATAAGATTTTCCTAGAGATGGAACAGCCACGACCACGTCGGTAGACTGCATCTTCATAGTAGAGCGTTGATTCTCTTCAGATATCAGTTCAGCAATGGTTGTGTCAAGAGATGGAAGAGGTTGACGATGCAAAAGACTAGCACGAATAGGTTCAAAATCTTGGCAAAATGCCATCATGAAGTGCATAAATTTACGGCGATCAATATACTCAGTAAACAGGACTTGATCAGCAACACGCTGGAATTGAGGATCTGCAGTACTCAATTGATCCCACAAACTAGTTACTTGAGAATGGAAATCAGAAATAGACTGATCTGGACCTTGGAAAGTGGAATACAGCTTGGTTTCAAGTTGAAATTGGAGAGATGCATCATGATTGCATTTGTAGCGCTTTGCCAAAAACACCCAAGCATCATGAGCACTTTCTAGATGGGCAAGTAGTGGTTGAATGACTGGTGCAGACGTATTAATGAACCATGACAATATTTTGCACTGTGTACTCTCCCAAGTGTTAAGTCGAGTATGAAAAGCAGATTCTTCCTCACCTTTATTTTGAATTGTCTTTTTGGATAGACTTACAACGGTACGCCATTGAGAGACTCCCTTCAGGTAGATAGTCATGTTTTATGACCACTGGTTGTAATTAGTCCCATCAAGAGTAATATCAATGGGATGAATGGGATTGGTAGTGGTGGTGGCGTTAGACATTTTTTTTTTTATTTTTACGTTTGTAATATTATATATATATATATAATAACGTTTGGAAGAAAAATTGAACGGCAAACGGGTTATTTGAATTAACTAAGAAGATTGAAAGAAAACATTGCAGACCAAAATAAATGAACGGGAAAATAAGAGATGTAAAACCAGATTATAGACGAGAGAGTGTGATGGTGAGCTTCTATTCCATCTAATTGAAGAGGATGTGGATGGCGAACGAGGCACAACATCGGGCTTGTAGGCGAGCGTCGGTAGTAATGGCATGGTCAACGTTGATTGGGTACAACACAACGACATTGACTTCGATCGGCGCTAGAGAATGAAGCGCAACGAAACGTCGGCTGGGTTTGAGATGGAAGAAAGGTGTGCAACAATAATGATGCTCGCTTAACTCGTTGTTGAGAGAAAGGAGACTGGTGTCGACATCTATTGAAGAGGAAGAAATAGTGGGTGGTGGTTACGGTATGTTTTCTTGGCCAAGGAACAACCTGGCTTTAATACCATGTAGAAAATAAAGGAAGACAAGAAATATGTGAAATGTTTTCTATATCTCAATTGAAAGAGAGAGTTCTCTTTTATAGTTACAAGGGGACACCTAAATAGGGTAACTAACTAATTACGTGGAGAAGAATCCAGTAATTACAAAGAATCAAGAAAGTTGACAAAATTGAATACATAATATTCTGACATAAACAGAATATATTCTATCGCAAATACAATATGTTCAACACTTGTGATGGAAGCCTGAGTCTTGTAGGTGGTTCTTGTGCTTGATGGGTGCTGTGCAATGGCAGTTGTGATGGAGATTCGACAAATTATTGGAGCGACGTTCTCGGTCCTCTAGCAGCGATCTAATATTGTAGTGTTGGGGTCTCATCCTCCTCACTTATGCGGATTTAGGAGGCATGATGCGTGTGGCGCTTACTGCCGGAGATTGAAGTTCTAGGGCTTTTGACAATATGTGAAGCTGTGTGTTCCTAGTGGACCTATGGCGTGGGGATCTTCATCTCAATGGTGCAATGCTTCTTTTGGAGATCTTTCATGTTTGGTTTCGTAGTCGGCAATTATACTCCTTCCGTGGTAGCTCTTCTTATATCCGATTGCCTACTCCGTGACGTAATGACCGTCTTTGTTGTGGTCGAGTCCTTCCTGTTGGTTGTGGTTATTTATTTTTTCTGTTGTGTTTGTTGGCTTGTAATATAAGTGTTGATACTTCCGCATTGTTGGTATTGGTTTATATTGTTTTGTTATTCCGTTAGTTTTGTAATAATGAAGGCGGTTTTTTTGCCTCCCGACCTTGTATGTGTGTACCACTCATTTATCGATAGCATGGGTGATGATGTTTGGCTAAATTTAGTTATATGTCGTGTCGTTCGTATCCTTATTATTTGAGGTTTGATTTTGATTGACTGATTTAATCCTTCACATGTTGTAATTTTATCAATGAACTTTCGTTGTGCTCAATCTTTTTGTGTCGAGCGGGCTTTTCCTGTTAGACCTTGACGCTCCTATTTCACTCTTGTGCTTCATCTATCTTCGCTACATTGTGTATAATTAAATGATACGCAATGTACACTAGCGACAATTACTTTTTTTTTAAGGTTATATATACACACACGTACATATATAATTGACAACCACTAAACTTTGTACCCTATATTATAGTTGGTACATGAAAGTTACAGATCATGTCCTAAGAAGACACATTCTTTAGCAAATTCGACTAATTTTCCTAAATTGTTTTTACCTGCTAGGTACGTGTATTGAGTTGTAATTGCAGTTTTTATAACGTTAAAAAATATACTATATAATTTTTTACGTAGAGATTCAAAAGAGTATAGATTAAATTGTAGCAAGAGAAGAGAAATTTATAACAATAGAAAAAATAGAAAAAATTTTTACTTAGAGATTCAAAAAGAGTATAGATTAAATGGTAGTGATAGTATCTTAACGGAAATTACACACTTGATACCACCAGAAGATGTAAAGTTTGAAATTGAATCCTCACTCACATGAGTATATATTAATGGTAGTTTGAGTCAAAATGTTACATTTAATCATAAAACACATGAAACATTTTAAAGTATAATACGACACAGTTAAAAATAAAGGAGATAAAACTTAAAAAGTAGAGAAAAAATTATGAAATAACAAACTAATATATTATAAAAAAATAACAAAAAAAAAAAAGAACCAACAAAGAAAAAGAAGCAAAGCAAAAAGGGGAAAAAAAAAAAAAAGAGGAGAGACACGAAAAGTAACATATGATGGTCCATAGTCCATATCATTCATAATACATGTACTTTTTTATTTTAAATATTTGAAAAGAAAAGAGAAATAGGAAAAAAAAAAGAATATTTGGTCATTTAAACTGATACATACATACATATAGGAAAGGTGCATGATTTTGATTTTTGATTGTGAATCTAGCTGGACAACAAAATACAATTTGATCTCGAAATATTATCAGCAAAACAAGACAAAACAAAAAAAATGATGATTATTATAAAAGTCAACAATATTTGGTCATTTAAACTGATACATACATATAAATAAAAGTGTGTCCTTCGCAGGGTAAAAGTACTATGCATGTGATGCTCAGACATGGTAACATAAGCTATCTTCTCTCTGTACCGCCTCTGGCCTTTTCCCTTTTTCAGTAATGTATTCATTTTAAGCAACTAATAAGAACAAATTGAAGAGGAAAACGAATTATGAAAAAGTGATATTTGAAACAAGTGTTAATTATTTTTTCAATCATGTTTTAGCGAATCAATAATTATCAATTTGAGTGGTAGGATTGGAATATCCTTTTCCTATAATTATCGTAACATTGTGTAGGCCCTCCCAAACCACCAATATATTGACAAGTGATTAAACACACGACTGAAAATTATGAGAAAGAAGAATACTTTTCTTTTATTTTTTTTTCTATTTATTTAAAGGGAATACCTTTTTTTTTTTTTCGGGGAGAGGAGATATGATTATACCCCCTCATAATTGGCCTTATGACCTGCAAAGCTTGGAAGGCCACCCAACTCTTACAAATAATATTTATATTCAGGAGAGCATTCCTATATATACAATTGTTTCCGGTAAATGTAATAATTTGTTTTTAACATCGTTCCTGTGTAATATTAATTTGTTAATTAAGTGTAACATTTAAAAAACATAATCCAAAAATGTAATATAATATTGAATATTACATTTAAAGAAAAAAAATTTTAGTATTACACACATTTATTATCGATGTCACACGAAAATACGAAAAAATATTACATTTACCAAACTGTACATATACTGAAGTTTAAGACTTTGTCTATATAACACAGTTTAAGTCTTAAAGTGTTATATAGGTAAGTCAATTAACTCAAACACGCATAATAATGGAAGCTCTACTACGGAGCACCGGGGGATCTCCTCCTCTCCACACGGCAAAGATCTCCCGTCTCGCCATCTCGAACCGCATATTCGCCGCTGTTTACGCCTCCGCCGTCCTAACCCTCCTCTATCACCACTTGGAAACCCTAGCAGACTCCACCACCTCCATATCCTCCTTACTCATATCCCTCTCTCTCCTCATCGCAGATCTCATCCTCGCCTTCATGTGGACCACAACGCAGTCGTTTCGTATGCATCCCGTCTACCGTACCGAGTCGCCGGAGAGCCTCGCAAAGGTGGTGACAGATCAAACGGACTGCGTTCCGGCGATGGATGTATTCATTTGCACCGCCGATCCCTACAAAGAGCCGCCGATGGGCGTCGTGAACACCGCCTTGTCGGTGATGGCCTATGACTATCCGCCGGAGAAGCTCTCGTTGTATGTCTCCGACGACGGTGGGTCGGCGCCGACGCTCTTCGCTTTCCTGGAGGCCGCCAAGTTTGCCGCCCACTGGTTGCCCTTCTGCAGGAAAAACGACGTCGTTGAGCGCTCACCGGAGGTGTACTTTGCTTCGAATGACTGTCGTTTTTCTGAGGCTCAGAAGATAAAGGTATGTAAATTATTACAACACTAGTTTTACAGATCAACCTTCATGTGGCTAACTTAATGCTAGACGTGATCATATATAAGTATAATGATATTGAACATATATATATATATATATATTATAATTATCATTTAAAAAATAAATTAGAAATATATAAAAATTACTCTGGTAACTCTTAAATAGAGAAAAATGCTAAGTTTTTCCACTATAAGTAGTATTTCTTATATTATATAGTTAGCCTTGAATTTGTGAAAATAATCGTATTTAGTTGTGTTAACTTTTATGTAGTAATTGATTATGAATCTCATAATTGGCATAATAGTTACAGAAGAGAAGAGTACAATATACAAGTCAAATGATTTGTTTCTTTACACGTGTTGAGTAGACGTAGATGATTATGATAAGGCATCGGAAAGCTTCCTTCAAAGCCACCGCCGTCATATATTTTGTAGGGACTGAGAATAAAACGTAATCTTTTAATTTATCCAATAATATGGCGTCCAGAATTTTGGTCCCATTTTTTTTGTTGATTCGAGTTTAAAATTTGAGTTTTGTTACAGTAAAAAGTTCTTAAAAATAGTTACATTTAATTTTTTTATTACAGTAAAAAATTCTCACACAATATCACATCTCAACTCAAATTAAAAATTTAAATTAACGAACCGAACGAGTTCTCTCAAAAAACTTTTAACTTCAGAAGGGACTAAATAAACTTATCGATGCCACCTTTTTGATAATAGCGTCGGTAAATATTAATGTTTTTGATGTTACAGAAGCGTCAAGAATTATTGACCTCAGTAATTACACGTTTTCTTGTAGTAAGTTGAATATCTAACTAGTAAGAGTGGCTATATAATTTAGAGGTCAAAGTAAGACATTCTTTTTTGTTAAATAAATGAGATATTCAAACTAAGTAAAAGGTTAAATTATAAAAAAAAAATAGAATTCTATAATATATAGAGCAAAATTCCTCTATAAGGTTTTATAAATATATATAGTAGGATTTAGTTTTAAACCGTGCGCCCTTTTTTTTTGTAATTTTTTATTTTGATAGTATTACTAATTATTTTGATAGATGCCCACATCCCTTGCAAAAGTGAAAATGTCTTTCATCCAATAAAACGTGCGCCATCAAAACATAACGGAAAATCTTTTTGGTTTTTTCCTTTTGTGTGGCTACAACATTTTTTGGACGTTTCAATAATTTATAAATTGAATAGACTTGTGTAGTACTACTTTCTGACAACTTGGCAATATAACTTCGAATAGATTAATGCGTTCACCGACTCGCGCAGGTTGTCACATCACAGCATTTAGCAACAAAAAATGACGTGTATGTCCTATGTGGAGTAATTAATGTTACCTCCTATACTGAAGAGCACCTTTTTTGGTCCATCCAATGTCACATCAGTTTTGTGCGTTTGGTCAAAAAAAGATAGCCACTAGTTGAGTTTCTAGTCTCGTTCGTTAATTTTATCGGCTTAAATTTTTAGTTTTAAATTTTTATAATAAAATTTTTTTAAAAAATATTACATTTAATTTTTTTATTATAATATAAAATTTTTAAAAAATATCATATCTCAACTTAAATTAAAAATTTAAATTTATAAAATGAATCAGACTTGAATGAGACGTTTTTTTGTAGTATTTAATGTGTCCAAAAGATCTTTTCAATCAGAGAAATTATTTAGGCCTCGTTCACTTTGTGAATTCAAGTTTTCAATTCGAGCTGAGATGTGATATTTTTTAAGAGCTTTTCACTGTAGTAGAAAAAGTTAGATGTGACATTTTCTGAGAACTTTTTACTGTAGAAACCTAAAACTAAAAACTCGAATCGATGAAATGAACGATGCCTTAAATATATGATTATTTGAGGGTTCTTTATGATCTATCTACTCACGAGTTTAGAATCGATCCCCCATAAAATCAAAGGAGACTTTTATGAGAGAGAATGAGAATATACGGGCTTGTTCTTTTAAAGTTTAACTTGAGTATAATTCTTAAGTTGAATTTGAGTTATAATTTGAGTTGAAGTTATAACTTGAGTTTGTATTTAGTTGTGTACATTTGAGTTATGGTTTGAGATAAAAATCTTTTTTAATTTGTGTTTGAGTGAGTCAAAACTTGAATTTATATTTAGATAGTATTTTAATAAAAACTCAATACTGATGAAAAATTTTAATAGGGTATATGGGTGTTGTTTTATTCGTCTTTTCGTTTTCAACGCATAGAAAAAAAATCATCTCAATCAGAATTAAAACGAAAAAGTTATAGCATTTTTAAAAATAGAAAAAACACTGTTCATTAATTTGAGTTCGAGTTTTTGAACTCGAGTTGAAGGGAAAACTTGAACTCGAGTTTTAGTCACAAACTCGAGTTTGAACTCAAGTTCAAACTTAAAAAAACATAAACTCGAATAAAGTTGTAATTCGAGTTACATTTTTTTTAGTTTTTCACTCAAAAGAACAAGCCTTACATTTTCTGGCCTCACCTATGTTTGGATCAATGTTCGTATAATCTAGTGGGAGATGGATTTAGATTCAACATAGAAAACTAAGAAATCTGTTACGAGTATGTACTTGGTATAAAAGCAATAATTAAATAGTTACTAAAGAAATTAAAATTCAATGGAGACAATATAATACTTTAGACAATTTTATATAGTACTTAAACTATCAGAAATAGATTTTGTGAGGTTTATTCACAGATATGCCCCCACTTGTTCTAATAACACCGTCCTTATTAACACATGAATGACATATTTATTTGACCATATTAAAGCATGATTATATAATAATACATTAGTAAAATGTTTGATGTAACCACTGTATTGTATAAACTAATACGAATGATAAATTAATATGGTGTATGTCGTATTATATAGTACAACTCATTTTTACCTATTGTATCGTAGTATTTTGTAATGAATTTGTGATACATGTCAAGATTGTGCGTGATCGAGAGTTGGGGTCAGATCAATATAAAATCACACAGTAACCTATAATTGTTTAAAAATTGAGGGAGTATAATGTAAATTTTTATTTTAAAAAAAATTACATTTGACCCCTCATTTTTGTAAAAATACAATTTTGACCCCAAAATTTTTAAAAAATTACATTTTAACCCCTAAATTCTTGAAAAACTAAAATTTGACCTTAATTTTTTTGAAAAATTATATTTTGACCTTAAAATTTTTTTAAAATTACATTTTAACCCTAAATTTCTAAACTTTTATATTTTAACCCCTTATACAATACGCCATATGATACCAAACAACGTATTGTGTTATGACAATATAATACACTATAACACATTATAATACACCTTATACAATATAATACAATACAAGCTACCAAATGTGGCCCAAATATTTATGTGCAATTTTTTATACAAGTACAATTATGAGAGTGTACATACATACATACATATCTATACACAAATCTATAGCTACCAAATATATGTCTTCAGTCATTGACTATATAAAAAAAAATGTTTATTCATTTATATGCTATTCGGTACATATGTGTTTTCCAAAATTATTATATAACGGTTTGGAGTTATTTTTCCCTTTTATACAAGATCAAAACATAAAACATGCCTTTTCTCTTGTGAAATTAATATTATTGTTGGTCTACAGACTATGTACGAAAGCATGAAAGTGAGGGTGGAGAACGTGGTTGAGAGAGGGAAAGTTGGCGATGAGTTCATCACCGGGGAAGAAGAAAGCCAAGCTTTCAACAAATGGACGGACGGATTTACGCGGCAAGATCATCCAACTGTCATTCAGGTGATCATATATACTATCAAGATCATCTTATCATGGATACACATATACGTCTATATATACATACACACATGCATACCTACATATACATACATACGTACAGAAATACACACATATACACACACTCACACATGTATATGCAGTGTCACCAATTTTGGATGTATATACTGTACTTATATATATATATGTATTAATTGAGCAGGCTGTAATGTTTATATATCATGTACACACACGTTATATACATACATACATACATGCATGCATATATATACATATATACATCACACACATGCAGACATATATATATATATATATATCCATATGCAATGTCATCAATTTTGGATATATACACTATTTTTGTATATACATTTATTGAGCAGGTTATATTGGATAAGAGCAAGGATAGAGACATAACAGGTCATGTAATGCCAAACCTCATATACGTCTCTAGAGAGAAAAGCATGACTTCACACCACCATTTCAAAGCTGGTGCCCTCAATGTCCTTGTAAGCTGTCTTTAAAACATTACTATTTATAACAAACATGTTAGTTACTTCAAACAACAATAATTAATAAATAAAGCTATAGTAACATGACTTAAAATATAAAAATATAAAAATTCCACTCTCTGTAACAATATTGTGCTTGAGAATTATTGTCTCTTGTTTTTTTTTTTTTTTTTTTTTTTTTTTTTTTATTGTCTACATATGCGTTGTTACTTATAAAGGTTATATATATATATATATATATATATGCTTATATGGGTTTAATTAATGAGGATTCTGTTAAGTTGTGAGGTGTATTTTCTCTAGTAAACTTCATTTTCATCATATATAGTGAATTACTGCGGCGGTTGAAAAAGGACACAACCTTAATATTGAGACAAATCTCTTTTAAATTTTGTGAATTCGTTTTTTGTTTGATTTCTTTTCCGTGTTTTTATTGCTTTTGGTGACATAGAATTAGTGAGTTTAATTCTTAACAGATTCGGGTCTCGGCCATCATGATGAATTCCCCAATAATCCTCACCCTGGACTGTGACACATACTCAAACGATCCCAAAACGCTTCAGAGAGTGCTTTGCTACTTCTCAGACACAAAAGTTGAATCCAAAGTTGGGTACATTCAGTTTCCTCAGAAGTTTCATGGGATCAACAAGAATGACATCTACGGTTGTGAGATCAAACGACTATTTGTGATCAATCCCCAAGGAATGGATGGGCTGAATGGCCCAAATCATGTTGGAACTGGATGCTTTTTCAACAGACGGGTCTTCTTTGGAGGCCCATCAGCATTATTGTTGCCGGAGTTGCCGGAGCTAAGCCCATACCATGTTGTCAACAAGCCCATCCAATCTCCACAAGTATTGAAGTTGGCACACCGTGTTGCTGGTTGCAACTATGAGAACCAGACCCAGTGGGGATTTAAGGTTAGCTCCCTAGTTACCTTTTTAAGCCCCGTAATTCTTCTCTAGTACGGAGGTAAAAAAAAAAAAAAGGGTATTAGTAGGGTACAGTTATAAAGTACTTAGGCCCGTTCATTTCATATATTCGAATTTAAGCTCTTATAAACAATCACATCTAACTTTTTTATTACAGTAAAAAATTTTCACATAAAGTTGCATCTCAACTCGAATCAACCAACTAAACGGGCCCTTAGATTGTCAATCCGTCTTCTTTAAATCATCCTATATTTTTAACTGATATGATTGTGATTTGATCTGACAATTCAAAACTCTATGTTCACCAATAAGTTTTTTTTTTTTTTTTTCTAAACACAATAGCAAAATTTTCATAATTCTTAATTTATCAATCTTAAAAAATTTATATCCTGCATTTTACAAGTTTTCACCAGCACTCGCCTTTTCATTAGAAAAGTGACAAGCACCACACGTGGCAGAATTACATGATGGAATTAGTCCATAATAAACTAGGCCTTTCTTATAATGTGACATGCAATAACCATTTCAATGTTGCCTTGTATACTCTCTACTATTCGTTGTTAATTAGCTAGTTAGGGTTGTCTAAACCGGTTCTGGTTTCTCAATTCTGTAACATGCAGAAGAAGAATGTAATATGAAACTTATTATATGAAACAATGAGTTTAAGAAGTTGTAACATTCGTATGTAATAAGCTAATTCCTGATTATTACATTAAAGTGTCACGTAAAACAAATATCATGATTCTTAATTATATGAATGAAGTATACATTTTTTTTTTCTGGGATATTATGTTCACTTAAATATTGGTCATGACAATCATAGGGAATTAATGTTTGTGTTCTTAAAATGTACACAGGTGGGTGTGAGATATGGATCACTAGTAGAAGATTACTTCACTGGCTACCGTGTTCAATGTGAGGGATGGAAGACCATTTTCTGCAATCCTGATAGGCCAGCATTTTATGGGGAAGCCCCAATCAGCCTTATTGACGTGTTGAACCAGAACAAACGGTGGGCCATAGGCCTCCTTGAGGTGGCTTTCTCCAAGTACTGTCCCTTGACATTCGGCATTAGTTTAATGGGCCCTCTCATGGGCTTGGCTTATGCCCATTATGCGTTTTGGCCCATTTGGTCGATTCCTGCTGCCATTTATGCCTTCGTCCCACAATTTACTCTCCTCAATGGAGTCACCATCTTCCCAAAGGTAATGTGCCTCCACTTCAAAATTCTATTATATATGTCGTCTCCCATGTGTTTTGGGTCAAAGAAACTGTTATAAAATGTCGTTCAAAATTCTGTGACAAAATGTATCTGAGGTTGTTAAGAGTTAAATGTTGAGGCCCTGTTCATTTCACCGATTCAAGTTTGTAATTCGAGTTTTATTATAGTAAAAAACTCTCAGAAATAGTCACATTTAACTTTTTTATTATAGTTAAAAACTCTCACATAAAATCACATCTCAATGTGTGAAACAAATTTAGCCAGGTGTCAATAGCATATTGGTTGTCTAGTTAGAATAAATAGTACTAGTAGAGATTCGTTTCAGGCATTAAGAGAGAGGGAAAAAGAGTAGATTAGGGAAATTAGGGCTTGTCTGTGAGAGAATTTTCTCGGGAAAAGTTTTCTAGTGCTGGGAATTCTCAAATTCTTGTAATTGTTTTTCTGTTTACATAAGAAATAAAATCCTTGAGGTTTCTTCATCTTCTCTAGTGTGTGTTCTTGTGGATTGGTTTTACGCGGTTGTATCTGAGAAGATTTGCACAGATTCGTGTCAGAAACTGTGGAAAGAACTCGTTTTGGTTTCTCTTTGCTTCATCTTGGAACTTTTTCTACATTTGATATAAAGCATCACCGTATATATAACATAAATTTAGATCTCTGTTTCAATTTTTAATGTTTAACCAACTATATTACTCTACATTAACCTTTTCAAATTCTCACGCTCTTTCAACTTAACCTTTATATAATGCGACGACAACTGAAGTTGAAAAATTTTATGTCATCCGACATTATTTTAGCAATTATTTTAGTTAGCAAAGCTTGCAAAAGCGTTCTTTAATTTTGTGTCGTGTAGTTGAACGGCGTTGTTTTGAGTACCGCATGCACATGTCATATGGTTTTATTTTGCTATTGAATGGTTTCGACTTCCTAATTTGAATCCAACATGTATATTTACAGGTTTCAGAGCCATGGTTTGTGTTGTATCTATTCCTTTTCTTCGGAGCCTACGGCCAAGATCTCTTGGATTTCATAGTAGGAGGAGGAACCTTCCAAAGGTGGTGGGGCGATCAAAGAATGTGGATGATAAGGAGTCTCTCGTGCTTTTTATTTGGTTCCATCGAGTACTCGATGAAATCCTTAGGCATTTCCACGCACGGTTTCAACGTGACCAGCAAAGTCCTAAATGAGGAACAGAGCAAGAGATACGAGCAAGGCGTATTCGAGTTTGGAGTCCACTCACCCTTGTTTGTGCCCTTGACAATGGCCGCAATAACCAATCTCGCCGCCCTCATTTTCGCGATTGTGACGATCTTGAGAGGCGGAGGAGGAGATTTTGAAAGACTTTTAATGCAACTGCTTATCGTTGCTTTCGCGGTAGTTAATTGCCTGCCAGTTTATGAAGCCATGATTTTTAGGAGTAACAAAGGAGGGATTCCGATAAAAACTACTTTGCTCGCAACATTTCTAACCTTAACTCTCTTCGCAGTAGCTTATGTTACTCTAAGGAACTGAAATTTGGGTCAGCTAGTTTCCTTAATTATGACTAATTTATATTCTATTTAATAAATGTTGCCTAAGTGCAGCCAATAAGTACTATTAAATGTGGGAAAAGTACTGTACTTGTAAATTTTCAATATTTCTAGTACGAGTGGCTTCAAATCTAAAGGATGATGACGATGATTAGGTCGTTCGTACATTTACACTTCAATAATTGATCTTTTCATTCGAGATTTCGTGTCAATATTTGGCAAACAACACTCAAGACATCCATGTGGCTGCGGAAAGTGATGTTAGACATCTCCTAATGGTTGAGTGAACTTAAATTTTTACATAAAATTTGCACATGAATTTACATTTTACTGAACTTATACTAATGGTTGCATTAATACTCCATTAGTCCACCGGAAAATCTTCAGAAAATCATTAATAGTGAAGCCTGTTTAATGAAACGCCTTTTTTTAATTGTGTTTATATATTTTAGAGTACAATTGGTGCCCGTACGTCGATATGTCCGAGTGGTTAAGGAGACAGACTTGAAGGCCTTGTTTGGCGGCCTTAAAAACTCAAAAAAAAATACAATTTGAGTTCTAATTTTATTTAAGTTCACGTTCTTTTAAGTTTGAACTCGAGTTTAAACTCAAGTTTAAACTCGAGTTCAAGTTTCACTTTCAACTCGAGTTCAGAAACTCGAACTCAAATTAATGAACAGTATTTTTTCTATTATTAAAAATGCTATAACTTTTTCGTTTTAATCCTGATTGAGATGATTTTTTTCTCTATGCGTTGACAATGAAAAGACGAATAAAACCTCACCCATATACCCTATTAAAATTTTTCATCACCATTGAGTTTTTATTAAAATACTATCTAAATACAAATTCAAGTTTTGACTCACTCAAACACAAACTCAAAAAGATTCTTATCTCAAATCCACAAACTCAAATTATAACTCAAATTCAACTCAAAAATTACACTCAAGTCACATTCCAAAAGAACATGCCCGAAATCTGTTGGGCTTCGCCCGTACATATTCTTACCCTGCTGTCGACGTATTTTTTTTATTTGGGGTATTTGTTGTTGTTGTATTATTATTATTTTTTTAAAATCAGTATTTGGTGTTTTTGTAACTTTAACTTTTGATAAAACTTCTTAATTTAATCCAGAGTGGCCTTAGAAATAAATAAATTGTTAAACAATGTCAAGTTTTGGACGAAAATATTCTTGTAAATGTTATTATTATAATTTGTTTGATGGGGGAAAATGTAGTTCATTACACACGAGAGAGTTTCTATTCAAGTTTATGATTCTAAGGTCATGTTTGGAATTGTTTTTATTTTTATTTTTCACGTTTTTCAAGAAAAAAATAAAAACGATTTCAAAACGGCATTTAGCACAATTAAAGACAAAAAACAGAAATGAAAATAATTTTTTGGTTTAGTGTAAAATGAGAGAGAAATAAAAAATGACTTTTAGTCATTTTTCATTTTTTGTTTTTGTTTTCTCCTCTTTCGAGCATAGAGAGAGAAAGAGATACATTAATGGGGTTTTTAGCAATCTCTTGATAAAACTAACAAACGCATTTTTAAAAATGATTTCTTTCTAAGATTGAAAACGTTTTCATTTTCATTTTCATACAAAAAATAAAATCCTTTTGGAACAAGTTCCAAACACACCCTAAATTTCTTTATATATAGTTAAAAGAAGTTCCTCATATCATATTGCAATAAGCTTCTAATCAAGTTTAGGTCTCCATGATAACGTTCAATTTTAACAATTATTAGCAATTTGGTAAAACATGCAACATTTACTGGAGAATATATTATTAAGGGTTCATTTGAAATGTATATTCAAACCATGATTCTTTCTTTTGAGGTTTGAAATTTAAATTTTTTGTAAGGGAAAAATACTGTAATAATTCGGTTTAAGTATAAGAAACAAATAGGCCATAAAGCTAAATTAATGAAGACTAACTTACCTTTTTTTTTATTTAAATGAAGTTGTTATACCATAATTTTTCACAAGTCTAACATGGCATTCCACGTATGATACATCATAACTTGTAGCTCAAATTGAGCTTGATAAGTTGAGCTCGGTATTTTTTGAGTTTGGTACCTTAAGCTAGGTATGTTGAGCTAAGTAAGTTAAGCCTAATACCTTAAGGGGGTCCTTAAGGAGGTAAGTGAGAAGGAGTACCTCAGAGAGGTAAGTGACGAGGTCCTTAAGGAGGTCTTTAAGGAGTACCTTAGAGAGGTAAATGAGGAGGTCCTTAAGGAAGTCTTCAAAGAGGTCCTCAAGGAGGTAAGTGAGAAGGAGTACCTCAGAGAGGTAAGTGATGAGCTCTTCAAGGAGGAAAGTGAAGGAGAGTGCCTTAGAGAGGTAAGTAAGGAGGCCTTCGAGGAGGTCCTCAAGGAGGTGTTCAAAGAAGTCCTTAAGGAGTTAAGTGAGAAGGAGTACATCGAATAATGCTATGCTAAGATGTTTCCCTGAATCTAAAACGTCTCACAAAGTCCACCTCGAAACTAAAAGTCTGGATTTGCGCTTAATACCTTGAGCTCAAGGCGAAGTACCTGAAGCTCAATGCCTTAAGCTAAATACCTTGAGCTCATTATACCTCAAGCTCGATACCCTGAGATGGTTGCCTTGGAGTAGGGTGAATTAAAATAAGCCTAGCCTCCCACCTTACTTTCCCACGTGAGAAATGAGGAAAATGATAAGGATTGGAAGTTAGTTAGTTAAGTGATTGTTTAGTTGTTGCTACTTGTTAGTATTTTCTTTAGCAGTTTGTTAGAAAGGTTAATATTATAAAAGGGAAAGGTTACTAGTCAGGGAATAAGGGGATTTAATGAGTGTGAATTTGGAGAAACCTTTTGGGAGAGCTAGCAGACCTCTCGAAAGTTTATGAATCTATCTTGTAATCATGTTTCGGTCTTGTTTTCAATAATAAAATTTCTTGATTCTTATCAAATGGTATCAGAGCATCGATTCTAGGGCAAGACAGGTAAATAATAATAATAATAATAATAATAATGGAAAGAGCAACAGAAATGGTGAATGTGGGAAAGAGTTTGACAAATATGGAGGAAAAGCTGAAGATGATTCTGGATATTTTGTACCGTTACAGCAACGATTTACGACTAAGGGATGACGATGACGACGCCTATTTTGGCACCAGATGAGAAAATGATGACCAACGATGTTACAGACGTTAAGGTCGCGATCTTCGATTGCGGACTTGGCCACAATAGGGATGGGTCGAGCAAGCACGGTGAGCCTGCGACGGTGGTGAAACGACGGGAGAAGTCGACAGAGGAGACTGAAAATACCGATTGAGTTTTTGTTTCAAAGCAGTCCAGTGATAAAGTGACGAGCGATGGTGAATCTAAAGGAAGAAGATTTTCCCAAATCTTGAGACTAAAGACCTCTCAACCCTAGGGTTTCACATGACGACGAGTTACGAATTAACGAGAATCAACCCGATCTGTGACGGGAAAAACAAATCGGCGCCAGTTGGGGCTTGGGGTCCCAAATCCGTGACGAGAAGGGGGGATTGGTACCGTATTTGGCACGGGCAGTACTCAGGGGTGGCGGGAGTTAGGATTCGACTAGAATCCTTTAGGTCCACGTCATGGAGTCTAAATCAATCTGTATTTGTGCCATGGAGAGCATATCGACGATGGGAGGGCAGCGGAGAGCTACCAGTGGGCGCATGAGGAGGCAAATCTGCCCGGAGAAAAGAATAACGTTTTCAGACTTAGAGCTGCAGGCTGAAATCATGTGGAACCGCTTTGGGACGCGCAGGCTGGTGACAGAAGATTGGCTGAAGTTTACTAGCCACGCGTAGAGGGGTGCCGGGGGTTGGGCTATCAGCTGACGAAGAAGATGGGTGAAGGGAGATAGAGTTCAACCAGATCCACTTGATTGCGGGACTTGAAGGCCAGAACGGTGGGTAGCGGCGCTGTGGGGTGCAAATCACAAATGGGTTAGAGTTGGACGAAAACCAGAGGTCGGGAGGGTATAGAGGGGGCTGGCAGACATGGAAAGGCAGAGGGGGAGGCTTGTTTGGCTGCCTGATTTGGAGTGGGAAGCTTACCCTGATCTGAACCCACCTAAGGCAGGCCGGGTCAGAGAACTAGACCTAGATTTGGCTGGCTCCCGTGATCTTGGTGTGGGCAGAGTTGTATTGGGCTTAGGTGGGGACCTATTCAACCCTAGGGTTTCACACGATGACGAGTTACGAATTGACGAGAATCAACCCGATCTGTGACGGGACAAGATTAGAGAGATTTATGCTAGGTCTTCCAATTTCGGCCCAATTAGGATTGAGTCTGTTGATTAGTTCGGGCCGGCCCGGCCCGACCCTAAATAATTTTATATAGGCCCAGCCCGGCCCTAAGGCCTGACGGGCCGAGGGGCGGGCCGGGCCGGCCCGAGCATGATTTATAAAATATTAAAAAAATATAACGAAATTTATAATAAATAGTGAATATTGTAAAATAATAATGAAATAAGACTTTATTTATGTATTTATAACTACCTCATTAAAAACCTTACCAAGAAAAACCCATTGGGATAAAACCTTGGTAAGGAAAAAAGAGTGCATTATTATTTTTACAATTACAATTTATATTAAGAAACAATAATATCTAACTGCCTGCTACACTACTCCCCACATCATAAACATCATCGTCAATGTATAAGTTTTGAAATTGATCCATTAAATCGCTGTCTTCGGCTGTGTGTTGCATTCGCAAAGAAGCATTTTTCTAATATTTTAGACATATTAGCACCTCAACCATTTCTGGAGTTAACGAAGTCCTTCGTTTTTCAATTATCCTCCTAGCTATGCTAAAGGCAGACTCTGAAGACACTGTTGATACTGGAATAGTCAAGATATCACGTGTTAATATTGAAAGTATTGGAAATCTTACACCTTGTAGCCTCCACCATGCCAAAATTTAGAAATTGTCATCATTATCAGCACCATCTATCACCGAGAATTATGTCTCAAGGTATCTGTTGAGCTCCCTATATTGTGTCGTCGTTGGTGTTGATGGTGGTGGCATGACACTCGGAGTCGCAATTGATGATGAACTAGAGCCACCACGATGAGAAGATATAAAATTCCAAAACTTCTTTTTTGAGCGGGCCGGCTGATCTTGTTGCGTTTGTTAAGTTCTCAAGTTACCGAACTTGTTCTCGTAAATT